CCCCTGGACTGACTTATCAACGTCGGTTCCACTCAAACAGTGTACAACGTTGAAACAACCTCACATCACGACGATATAACAACGAGGAGAATCGACGTTGAATCGGAGTTGAATTTAGGTTGTTCAGTGAATAACAAAGTTTCAACGTCGATTCAACGCCAGTGTTGTATCTACATCGAGAATCGACGTTGAATAACAGATGTTGAATTCCGGTTGCTGAATCGACTGAAATAATTTCAACACTGATTTAAAGTCAGTATAAAACGTGGAACTAACGTCATATCACGACGTATCGACGAACAGAATCGACGTTGAATTTAGGTTGTTCAATCAACTGACCTAATCTTAACGTCGAATCACCCTCAGTGTACAACGTTCAACCAACGTCATATCACGACGGTGTATCAACGACGAGAATCGACGTTGAATAGGAGTTGGATTTAGATTGTTTAGTGACTGATATAGTCAACGTCGATTCAACGTCAGTGTTCAACGTTGAATCAACGATAAAATTGCGACGTTGTATCTTCATCGACAATGGACGTTAAATAGACGTTTGAATTTAGGTTGTTCAATCAACTGACCTAATCTCAACGTTGATTCAACGTCAGTGTAAAACATGGAACCAACGTCACATCACGACGTTGTATCAACGACGGGAATCGACGTTGAATAGGAGTTGAACTTAGGCTGTTTAGTGACTGACATAGTTTCAACATCAGTGTTCAACGTTGAATCAACGCCACACTGCTACGCTGTTTCGACAAACAGAATAAATTCAATTCAATAAAAAATACATTTATTTTCTTCCATTTGCAATTGAAAAACAGAGATCATTAAAAAACGATGGGTTTAAGAAACAAAATCAAAGGAAGAAGGCACTTGCCCGAGAAAATTCATTAAAAAACATCTTGTATTGGGCAGGCCTGAACACAAAATCACAAATGCACACAGACCCCCCCCCCCCTCCAAAAAAAAAAAACCAAAAAAAAAAAACACACACAAGCAAGACGAGTCACGATCAAATTAATTATTGTATTGAGAAACAAGGCGATTCCTGAGTTTAATGGTAAAAGACCTCACGGAAACTGAGTTCATAATTGAGGATGGTAAATTATTCCAGAGTATAGGACCAGTGTATCTAATACTGTGTTGAAAATAGTTGGTGTTATGATTAGGTATGTGAATATCATTTCTGGATTGAGTACGATAATCGTGAATGGAGTGATTGAGGGTAAACATATTACATAGATGGTTAGGGAGAATATAATTAATGGCAGTGTATAAGAAAGTACCTTGTTGAATATGGTTAATATCAGGGAGTTTGAGAAGGTTTAAATTGGAGAATATGGGAGAGGAATGAGACCGTGGTGGAGCGCCAGATATAATTCTAAGTCTGTTAATATTGGATAAATAAGTATTGCCCCAACCAATGTTGCAGTAGCTCAAATAAGGAAGGATTAATGAGCAGTAAAGAATACGAAGAATATTAGGGGGTACAAATGGGGATAATCTAAAATTAATACCAAGGCTTTTTGAAATTTTGTTCTCAATTTCGTAGATATGTTTTTTCCATGTAAGGCCACTGTCAAGATGAAATCCTAAGAACTTAGCTGACTGAACAGAGGGTATGTCATAATTATCGAGAAAAATTTTAAAAGGAGTGGTATCAATACATTTTAACTTCTGTGGGGTCCCAAACAGGATGAAGTTATACATTTGCTGTGGTTAATTGAAAGTTTATTAGCAGCAAAGTATTGGGCCAAGGGAATCAGATTGGAGTTGATAGTATCAAATAATAATTGGATATTATGGTCAGAATAAAAAACAGTGGTGTCATCAGCATAAAAGAGGAAATTAAGTAGGTTAGAGGATTAATGGATATCATTGATGTACAAAATAAAAAGTAGGGGACCCAGTAAAGAACCTTGAGGAACTCCACAAGTGATTGGTCTGTAATTTGATATAGAAGTAGAATATTTAGTACGGTACACTGAGCCCGGTTGAGAGGTAACTTTTGAGAAGGGTAAGTGCGGGGCCACGAATTCCATAGTGAGATAATTTAAATAAAAGAATATTGTGATCAATTGTGTCGAAGTCCTTGGAAAGATCTATAAAAATTCCGATTGCAGAGGGCGATTTTCAAATGCATTAACAATTTTGTTAGTAAGATCAATAAGGGCCATAGATGCACTATATCCTTTTCTGAAACCGAACTGCTTTTCATAAAGTATGTCATATTTTGAAATAAATGAGAAAACTCGATCGTAATTTACCTTTTCCAGGGCCTTCGAAAAAATTGATAGTATTGAAATTGGTCGATAGTTAGAAAGGTCAGAGTTAATGTCCGATTTATATATAGAGGTGACGCGTGCTAACTTCATCCTGTCTGGGAACACACCGTTAATTAAGACAATGTTAAATATATGACATAATGGACGAGGGATAAGATTAGCAATATATTTGATGGCTTTAGTATGGTAATCATCAATACCTGGGGATTTGTTGGCTTTAAAAGCCGGGCAAGTATTTTGATCACTTCAGCCTCATCAACTGGGGTAAGAAATATAGAGTTATGGGTTGGGCTAGGAAGAAAGTCTTTAAATGAGTTGTTAACATTGGGAATTTTTTTAGAAAGGGAGGGTCCAATTTCGACAAAAAATTTGTTAAAAGCATTAGAAATTATATCGGGATCTTTGGTGAAATCTTCATCACAGCTGAAGGAGGTATTGGATTGTTCCCTACTTGTTTTATTGATTAAAGAATTAATGGTTTTCCAAGTTGCCTTGATATCATTTTTATGTTTTAGAAATGTATTTCGGAAATGGTTTTTTTTTTTTGTATTTTTAATAATATAGTTTAATTTATTTCGGAATTCTTATTTCGGAATTCTTTGTAAGCTCTTTCATTTTTAGTAGAAATTTAGCATATAACTTCTGTTTATACTTGATTGATTTCAGCAAACCATCTGACATCCATGGTTTAATCTTACTCGGCTTTTTGGGAGAATTCTGTAGAGGAAAATGTTTATCGTAAATTTTCTTTAATGTGGTTACAAAATTAGAATATGCTTTATCAGGGTCTTGAACTTATAACTTCAGACAACTGTTGTGTGGACACATCGTGACGGAATTTTTCTAAGGTGGTGGAATTAATTTTTCTAAATTTAAACTCTCTTCCTTATTTGAGCCACTTACGTCACGTGAAAAATACGAAATATTAAAAACAGGGAGATGATCAGATATGTCGCTATAAATAAATCCGCTCAGATTAGGAAAGTCTAATTGATTGTATCGACGATGGGAGTTGAAAAGACGTTAAATTTTCGTTGTTGAATAGACTGACCCAATTTTTGACACCGACCACATTACAACGTTGAATCAACGTTGACGTCATAAAGTTGATCCCCTGGGTGTGGATCGACCTTGAATAGACGTTGGATTACGATTGATCAACGTCCCAACCTGATTTCGACGTCAAACCAACGTCAGTATGTCTGCTGGGCTAGGTCAGGGCCTTATTAGGGCCAGGGCCTTACAACAGATTCTGCATAGCCTAATTTAACGTAAATGAAGGCTAGTCCTAGACAGTGGCGGCTATAGGATACATCAATCACTTTCACACTTTAAAAAAAAAATTCAAAACTTGTTTGCCCTTTATTTGTTTCATTTAGGCCCTGTTTCAACCACCAATTATAAATGAAGACAAACAAAACTGACAAAAACTTTTCTTTGCCGACCATATAACTGATTTAATTAATTTATATCTACATTATACACAAACACATACATAATAGTATTTTTCATAACTTTACAATACATATGAGCTTTAGGATACAACAATTTACAATATAATTTATGATAGTGAATAAAACATTTAAAAATATCCCTGTGTTGCTGCTTGTCATAATAAAAATGGTATAGTGCCCTCTATGTCAGACCAATATCCACCCAACATTTGTTATGCAGTTTTTACAACAAAAAAAAAAACTGATCATATTGTTGATGAAAATATTTATAATTATTCATGCAATAGAAATGAAGAAAACCTCAGTTAGAGAATATACTAACATTTCTATTTAAAGTGATAAAATTTGGTCTCTTTAAACATGTTAACTTGTGGGATAAATGAGGAAAATTACATGATCATTAAGGCCAATGACCTCATTAATGTTCCTCTATTTTAAATATCTACTTCATTATTATTTGACCTGTCCAACAAACATTAAAATATCATCTTTGTCATTATTTCATTCCTTTGTACTCTATACAAAAGTAGACACACTAAAAGAAATTTATAATTTTAAAATCACTAGTCCTTTTTTTACTCCATCAATACTTAGTTGAATATTTGACTATTATTTTCAAGACAAAATACTGGTTCATTAAAAAATAGTTACAACATTAGAAGTGAGAAGAAAAAAAATCAACAAATTCAATATGATGGGCATCAGCTGCTTATTAAAACTGGAATATAATGTAAAGCTTTATTCACACTATCACATTTTATGTGTGATGTGCCCATATATGGCAGTGCCCATATATGGACATAATGTGCCATATATGGGCATGATAATGTCATATACCCAAATAATTGCATATCCTATTTATTTGTCACATAAAATTTGATAGTATGGTCAAGCTAAACATTTGTCCAATGACTAATTCTTTAACAGAATTATGTCTAAAATGCAAAAGAGGTGCTTAAAATATTTAGAATCGGTCCCGATTCCATCAACAACAACAATCATAAGCGAGCCAACTCATCTTAAGTACAGTACAGTATAGCCAAAATGAAAAGAAAAAAAGTTAACTGAAAACAGGTTATCAATAGATAAAATCAGAAATGAAAACATGTTTGTACTGAAGTAGAACATACTGGTCTATACATCTCACTGTTAAACTGACATATATTACAATTATAAACAACTTAGAGAAGATATTACTATAACTGTTACAACTTTGTCATACATTTTGTATAAAAATAATTTGGCAATAGTACAGTGGCTTTTAACATTCATTGCCGAAAATGAATACAAACTTAAATCTAAAAAAAATGAATATGTTCAAATGATTCATTACCTAATATTTCTAAAGTAACAAGAACATATATATCCTAAAATATTGATTTTAATAATTTTGTATAAGTACTTTGACTATGTTTCATATTTGTATTCTATATTAAAGAAACATTTCATCTTGGTATATTATTGGCATGGCAACACCACTGATATAGCAAAAACAATGACCTGGCACAACCGTCGACAAGGCAATACAGTTGACGTAGCAACAAAGTGACTTAGCAACATGGTTGATATTTTAATAATTATTGATGGCTTGGCAACATGATATTGCAAACATAAAGCATGGCAAGATTGTTGCCATGGCAATCAATATGGAAAAGCATGGCAACATTGTTGCCGTGGCAATCAACATGAAAACTATGTTATGGTTGGCAACACCACTGACTAGACAACATGTGTCCTATTTGTTGGCATGGCAAGATGTTTGACAATGCAAAATGTTGTCATGGCAACATAGTAGGCATTGCAACATTGGTTGACCTGGCAACATGACCGACATTGCAAAATTGTTGGCATGGCAATATCATTGGCAAGGCATCATAACTGATATGACAACCTCTGCCTAATGCCTCATGGACATCATTCCGAATGAATACTCTGAGACCAATATAATATAATACAACTAGTGCTGCTAATATCATTCCAGAAAAAAATAATTTAACAAATTTTTTTAGGTTAATATTTATAATAATTTATCAGTCTAAACTCTATATTAAAATTAAGTTTCTATCTTTCTATATTTTGGTATAGACATTGTTACAGATTGATACATTATCCACTTTTAAGTCATATGTAATATTTAGATTTGATATGAATATGAATTTACATAACTGCATATTTTATGAGTAGCATTAAAAACTAAAATAATGGAAGCACATGAAAAATAAACTTAGAAAATCATTGTTAGGAAAAACACAATTAACTCATAAGTTACAAAAATATAGGAAAAATTATTCCATAAAAAAACAGAAATCATAATTTCGTAAAGTGACATTAAAATAATTATTGCAATAATTATGTTTTTAAAACATTAAAATAAATAGCACAAATACTAAATACATGAGTATTGTTTTTTCAGATGATCTTTCTGATTGGCTAATAAAATAATTTAAGTGTATCCACCAAGAGTACTTTAATCTTTCCTAAAATTATATTTATGAAATCTTATACATATTCATTACCTACCACTTGCATATTTGTATGCAAATTACACAGAAAAAAAACCACTTATGTATGTAGGTAGATCATCAGCTTAATGAGCTGTATGCATTTTATGTATATACAGAATTATTGTGATGTAATTGATTTAAATCTACCTGGAGACTTTAGAAGTGAAACCAACACCCTTAACTGATGCAAATGTTTACCTGTATGTTAAGTTATTCACATAGACACCGGTATGCAAATTTATCTTATAGATATTAATCAGTTCATTACCACTGTATAGATACACATTATGGAAATGAATACTACACATGTATGCAAATTAGCCAATTAATTAATAAACAGGTGTGATAATACATTCATGTAAAAATACAATGTTCCTTATGCAAGAATATGAAATGTAATATCAGATGATACAACAACCATGATTTGGCTTTAGTTCATTTTTGGTCAAAAATCAACCAATGAGAACTGACAAATACCATCAGCCTATACATCGTATAACCAATTGGCTAATGTGCAACCAATCACAATGCATGTACAAAATACATGCATAAATTAGTAATATGATTGTAAACATTGTCTAAAATTGAGGAACCACGATAATATGTAGGAACAGTGCTTAATGCAATGACATGTAATACATTTTTTACCAAGGTGACAAAAAAACCACAACACTGAATTACGGCATTACATTTTTTTCCGTTCATTTTTCGAGACTGTTGTGTTTTTCTAGCACGAATTTTACAGGATATTATGGGATATAAGCACCTTACAAGTTACAAAATTGTGCATAAATACGAGGAAATTGCACAGCGACCGGATAAAACCACAGAAAAAAGAACCAGTGTATTCAATACCTACCAGACATTACATTCCAAGAATCTTATACAGAAAACAGTTTTTCATAGTAAATCACATTTTGAATGAACATTTGTGACTATAGTTTCTACATCTATATCCAACGTATCTTCTTATTTTTTTTTTTTGCCATTCTTGTATATTAAAACTCAGCAGCTTGAATGTGTTTTTTTTTTCAGTTTGTTTTTTTTTTAATACAAAGCTTTTTGAAATCAATATTGGCTGCCACTCCTCAAAAGCTTCAAATCCGAAAATGGCTAACTGTCCTATGTACATTTTTCTACTTGAAACTGTAGTACAACGTATAGCGTAATGGTGATGGTATTATGGGAAGGAGGCCTGGATTTGGGGGCGATCAATTTCTAGCACACTTCTCTCTGATGTGCGTCAATTTCCATCCAGTTTAGTGAACTCAGGTCATGTTGGGGTGGACCAAAAACATTATGTTGCTGATGCTGCTGTTACTATTAACGGTAAGCATGTGGGGGTGGTCAGACTGTCAGTTATGGGATAGGTCAGTAAAAGGTCATGGAATTTATCATCAGACGGCTGTCGGTTCTACAGCAGTGGGTGGGTTTTTTCTCCGAAAACTTCCTATCCGGTTGAAGAAATGCCGGATTCCACTACCCCATGCCTGCAAAGGTAATAAAAACAAATTATTACATTATTATTAAATGTTAACCGATTAACATTGTGTATTGAAATAATATGACAAATCTCAACGAAAATAAATATTGGTATAAAACAGGGATCTATTTTAAGACCCCTTCTTTTCAATATCTTTGTGAACTCTCTACCTAATGCAATCCAAGGTAAATGTGTCATGTATTTTGATGACAACTATTCTTTGTAGCTCTCTAACCCCCACTATACTTCAGAAAGATCTTCAATTAAATTTTAATTCTGTAACCCAATGGTTCAATAATAATAATAAATTAACTTCAAATACACAAAAAATTAAATTTATGATATTTGGAACTTCATAGACACTGATGCATTATGGGACACCACCAAAACATCACTGGCAAACAATAACCTGTCTATCATGCATGTCAATTGTTAACAGCCTGTTTGTATTCATAACAATGGGTGCAATATGCAACAATTAATTATATAAGAGTGTGATTACTCAATGGACCTGAGAGTGAACCATCAAATCAGGCAAATATTTAATGGTTATACAATTTGTCAGTTTAGAAATTTTTTTCCCCATAAGCACACAATTTACCTATTCAAATATAATCTACAACAGCAGTTCTCAAACAAAAGGTCATGACCCAATCTTGGGTCATCAAATAAAGTAGGTTGCAAAACTCCTTAGGATTTTAAAGAGTTGAATTTTATCTCACGCTGAAATTTGCTGTAGTAAAGAGAACGCAACCTAAGTAATTTTGTTCACATATTAATGACCCACTTTTAATTTTAGGATCTGTATCTTGATGTTCCGGAATTGAGCACAGAAAATTGCCTGCACATTTGTGTGGGTCGTAGGCCAAAAAGTTTGAGGGTCACCTGATCTACAACATAGAGTACCACAGTCGTGTCGTCACAACTGCAGGTGGTGCTCTCTGTTGCCAACAGACGTTGGTTACCGTTCATTACGCCTGAATGACTGCATAGGCTTTCTGGAATAGGCATTTAAAAATCTAATACTTTACCATCAAAATGTACTAAAAACACAAAAGCTCGCATTATATTACTTATCGAACACACATTTAATCATCAATTGAAATTTACAAAGAAAAAGTAAGATACAACATCTTAATAATTATGTTAGAAATTTGGATCAATGGTTTGTTAATGGTGAAAATATCATCGAATTGCAAAGATAGAAACGGAGTAGTATCACGTGTTATCGTGACGTAACACTGTGTTAATCTATATCTTGTTTCAATTAATGAGAGCTATCAAGTTATCTTTCTTTCTGGGAGTAGTGAAAATAAATTTTTCAAATTGGTCTGTAGCATGATATTACTAAATTCTGTAAGACCAAGGTATAAATGGATTTAACTGTCATCTTTAATTTTTCTTGCTAAAGATATTTGAATAAAAACAAACCAAATTAATCTAAGTAAAGCAATCTATATTGAATCAATACTTACCTTTCATTTTATTGGGTCTTATTAGATTTAATCAATTTAATTATTTATTATAATGCACTCACCTTTGAATCTGATTGATTTTGCTGTCCTGTGGGTCTAGCATCCAAGCATTTTTGATACCTCAACTAAATTATAAAAAAATAATGAAAAATCGTTTATACATTTGTTTGTTTCACAGTGTGTACACGGAATTCATAACAAATCAAACCTACTGAGAAAAATTTAAAAAAACCTTCATAAAATGAATAAGTAAACAATTGAACATGCAAATTTGAAGGATAGCATCTTAACGAAAAAACCACAGCTCTTTCAATTTTGTTATGTAACATTCAAAGTACTTGGAGAGTATTGGGTTTGAATCCTGAAAGTGTTTTTCTAAAATCAGCATATCACAGGTTGGATTCGATTGGATATATTCAGTGTAAACACCAAGGATAGCCCACGGAAGTCTAGAAGAAGACTTATTTCCAGTGGGGTCTTTCTGGTGGTGATTGAACAGTACACCGGGAGACAATCCCCTACTCTTTTCCAAAGAATGTACTACGTTCTTTAACGTGCATATAAGCAATTATGCACACGGGACCAACGGCTTAAATGTCTCATCCAAAAGATTGTAACTTGTATTTCAGCCCTCTAGCTGAAACACAAGGAGAGGCAGTGATGGGAATTGAACCAGAGACCTAGAGATCTCCACGGTTCAGCACACACACAGTGGCTACCACCAGATTAGCCGACTGAGCTAAGCTGCTCTCTTTTGTTTAAAGTTCTATGCACACCACCAAGCATAATGTGATAAATTTATGTTTATGATATACGGGGATGATGTCATTTCACACCCACATATAGGCATGATGATGCCATATATCATACCCACATATACTGTAGGCATGACGACGTCATATCATAGAAACATAAATCGAAGGTAATTGTAACATACAACTTCACATGGACAGATCTTAAATAAACCCTACTGTTTTACAATGTTAAAATTTCTTGTTTTCTAATCAGGCAATTCTATGAATGTTAGCCCAAAAAAACAAAAATATCGAAGAGTGAAAAGTGGGATTCTCTGTTCCTTAACAATTAGTTGTCAGAATATTTATTTCATAATGGTCAAACAAAAAACAAAAGTTACATTTTACTTTGAAAAGATGCATAGAATGGATATTTAGGCCAAGTCAATATATAAATTAGTTTCTCAACAACTGGATCTGAAATAAATGATAACCAAAAGTGGCTTCTTCATCTAAATTTTTTTGCTTCATGTATACTATTACTTCTAAAATCCATATTTAAAGAGGGTAACCTGCTAGCGTATTCTAGAAGGTTGGCTGATGTTCAGAGGCCCTCTTAAATAAATTAAACTGCATAGCTGTCTGCGACGCAATCAGGAATGCTTACTGATTAAACTGAAAAAAATTTAGAGTCAGCGACAGCATGTAGCGATTTTATGGAAACTAGGCTTTAGGGAGTGGAGGTATGTTGTCGTGCTGTCACAGAATTTGAACCCAGGACCTTGGGATTAGAAGGCAAGCACATCTTAACCCACCAAGCTACAAAGAAAAGAGTAGTCAAACCTTGCAAGCAGCTTCTATGGCTTTAGCTAGGCCTCCCGAGGAATGTTCACAACATAGGACGTGGCAGCTGAACTGATTCTTCCCTGAACACATGATGTATCCAAATTGCCGAATATTTGGCCCGATTCCAAGGAACGATAAGAAACGTATGCGGCTTTCAGAGATGATTTCTTTGGTCTGTAAACAAGAGCATATATCAGAATGTATAAGGTAGTGATAAATATGGGACACTTTCCCTATTATGTAGTTAAATTTACAATAACAATACAATAGTAAAATAGTATTAGTAGTAACAGTAACCTTCTTTCCTGTTTTGTGGGAGTAATTTGTGCATTGGTTGTGGACAGTTGGTCCGGCGTAGTGATTGTTGCTGTCAATCCTGAGAGGTCAGGCAGTAGTTCTATTTCCAGGCTTGCCATTTGATTGCTTCATGGGTAAGGCATTCATTTACATTTGTCTCTCTCCACCCCCTGAAACAGCCCCTCTATGGGACCATAAGATTATAGCTGTAATGGGTAGTATGATGTTGGTAGTTGACCTGGTAAAAAGTGCATTATACTGCACTGAAGCGACAACATGTATATTCCGCATGGAACTGAGATTGTTCATTGCACTGTCACTACAAACCAGGGGCTCCTATGATTAGGCGAATTTCCCTTTTAAGAGAACCCCCGCTGACAAACCAAAACATCCATCCCCTTACATCATCCCCAAATACCATCAAATTGATGATTATTTACATGTTAGAAGAATACTTTGGATCTAAGGGACTTTTCCCCTGACTTCTAGTGGACTTCTTCCTTTTGACCCCACCAGTTGTAAAGCCATTATCTGTACCCCCGGCTCCTATAAGTAAAACCACTTATACAATTAGAGCCCAGCAATGGATCAAGTAACCATATTTTGATGATAATTATATCCATAGCAATTTTTTTCAATATTGATCCAATGAAGAGCAATAACATAGCAAGCATGCAGACTCACAGTCTCTGAATTGTTAAAGGCATTATATAAATATTGAATATTGTTATTAATAATAATAATATTTGACAGGCTTACAAATCATTATATCTACTATCAACAACATTTGTTCAAAAATGAATGCAGGTGCTATATAAATACTGAATATTGTTATTAATAACATTCAATAGGCTTGCCAATCATTACAGCTATTACTAACATTCGTTCAAATAACTTCATTTGGCGTAATGTGAATAACCCCATTACCTAATTATTATCCACAGCGTTGTCACCATGATCAATTGACCTACATACCTTTATATTGGTAATAGTAATGGTGGAGATGGCTACTTCTACCCTAACTGGAATCCAGTCCTCCTCTGGTAAATGATACAGCTTATTCACAGCTTCATTAATTGTCTCAATACCTACAGGCACAACAGAAATATAAACCAATTAACAATTAGTTCCTGACTTATAATTAATTTATAATAGAAATCAAATAGTAATAATAAAAAATATATAATTTATTATATTCTTTGATGTAATACAGGGCAACATAACTAAATTAGCAGCATTAGTTAGCTAAAAAGGAGATAATCACTGGATTTATATTCAAATACTGTAAAACCTTGAATAGAAGCCCCTGGCTTCTTCCTTTTTTTTTTTTTGCGAATTTTGAATAGGCTTTTTTTTTCCGAGATGAATGCTGTAATTATTGCGAATTACTACTATAAAACGATAAATTATTATGGCCACTGTAAAATCAGTCTGTATGATGAAGTACAACCGGCATTATAATCACAAAACTACTGTGTAAACCAAGCACTGTTTTTTTTTGTTTTTTTTTGTTTCTTTGAAATTCATGTACTGTGTAATAGAATTCTTTTAGAAATAGGCTTCTTTTCAAAGCTACTTTTGCAGACTAAAAAAGGGCTTCAATTCAAGATGGGCTTCTTCTCAAGATTAAGCCCACTGGGCTTGTATTCAAGGTTTTACGGTATGGTAGTATGTTCAATTTTTTCAATGTTCTCGCTGAAATGGAATTTATTATACTGTGCTGTCTCTTTGAAAGAGATATTTAACGTGTTGGTCCTAGCTATGTGCATATTAATGATCCATTACAATTTATCGGTGGGATGGACAATGGCGTATCTGGAAGTCTTGAAATGGAGGTGCTGATGGGGGGGGGGCCCCCACAAACACATCTAGATGTGTATAAGAGATCAGTTGATGGGTGCTAATTTCGCAAAATAAGGTGATTTTAGGTCTTTTTAACTGCTTGACCATGATTTTTGAGGGCGACTGGGAGGGGGGGGGGCAAGTAATTTTTGGAGGGGCAAGCGCTCTCCCTAGATATGCCACTGGCGATGGAATAGCGCTGTGTTACAGTATATCATTTTTACCACAGATATGTATTTTTTTAATAATTGTTATAGATAAAAATATTAATAACTATGAACAATCTTGAACAGGGTTTGGCATAAAAGTGGTTGGAGGGTCAAAGTGAATTTTTGATTTAACACCGAGGCCAGCACCCAAACCCAAATGTTTCCAGGAACCTTCATGCACTGTTTTTAAACCACTTAATGCTCAGTTTTAATATTACTTTTCACAGATGACTGCCTGTCAGGCCATGCAAAACAAGGGGTTTTCATGATTTTCAACAAAACAAAATCACCACACTGTGACTTACAAGGTAGGTGAACAATCACACAGAAAAGCCTGACCAAAACAAGACTTGTAACAATTAACAGAAGCATATACAAAACATGTCGTCGCTAACATCAAACCTGTCTTTGCATTCTACACATACTGTTTGATATATGTTCCATGTGTAGTCAGCAAGCAATTAATTAAATTACATTGTCTACTCCGGTTTAACAGACATCGTTTAGCTCATTAATGGCATGTCATCAATCTGGTAGCATCTGGATACAAGTCATTTTCTGATACTTTTTTTCCCCTTCGGAAGGTTGAAAAGTTTAAGCGGCAGTTAGCATTACCAAGGCAACCACATTAATAAGTAATCCGTATTCATAACGGTGGTCGATGAATGAAGAATTGTGATTAATTCAGCCATAGATATCATTTTTATCATTATAATCTTATATTTATTTATATTCTATTACACCGCTAAGTTTCTATAAAATTGTTGCACTGTCATTAATAGTGTTTTTACTATAATCCTATACACTGCGTATCTGTCTGCAATTAATTCACACAACCATTTTTTAAATCAAAAGAATAAGAGATTGATGACTACTGATCAAATTGCGAGAGGTGCAATATCTGCGTTTGAATGCTAAAACCAATGCTAATTGATGTATATTACAAACAAATTTATGCAATAATGATACAATAATCAATGTATGATTCACCTTTAGAATATCTAGAGTTGAGTTTTAAATGATGTGATCAGCATGTGTAAAGTCTTGATTCCATAAAATTTCTACACTCTCACTCCAGCAAATCACAATTGCACAGTCCCCCAACAGAGTTGGAAGCCTTCTCGATTAGTCTGTGATAAATCAGAGAAGCTGAACCCTATTAAAAGTAGTCCTAGCCCAGACCCCAGATGAAGCAATCTTTGGGCTAGTGGTCTTCTTTTTTTCTAGGCCTAGAAAACTGTCGGTGACTCACTGATATACTATAATAATTTTATGTAAACCAGGCTTGTAATCTTGCTTATACCTACCTCTAGGCTGCGTTACAGGTGTACATCCAAGATAGTGGGCTCTGAATGTTGTGGTTGGCTCGGCCTTAGGTGTTGGAAAATCAACTGCAAAGATGAACATAATTATCATTGATATCATTATCATTGTATCAAGATTGTCCATAAAAGGAAATTTTATTTTGTTTTGCACAAAATTATATTGAAAATAGAAATGGACAAGGCCCATTTTTTTTTAAATCTAAAAAGATGGCCAAAGGAAAAACATACATTTGCATAATGGGAAATGTGGTACACTATATCAGAAGTATGGTTTAGCTAATAGCTACAATGTAATTTGAAATAAATTATGAATGAACATAACCTATATCAGTAAACAATTACCAAATGAATTAATTAAGTTAGCACAGTACATTACTCTATGTTACATTTAAGTAGAGCTCATTATAAATGGAAATTGGTTATCTACAACATATCAAATAATTATATTTCATTCCCAGCGTACCACATTTCTCAACCATGTCATCTGGCCTGCTTATGTTTCGGTGATCAACTAATTAAATTGAATTAAAATCGCAATTCACCCTTGGGGAAAAAAGGTGCAGTGCCTAGTACATGCCATTGGACATTTCAGGCAATGTTAATAGAAGTGAGATGTGATTTGCATTCAAATTTGCAATGAGAGTAGAAAAAAACGAAGGACGGAATAAAATAAATCGCTGGAAAATTGTTTCTATAAATAATCCTCATGGTTTTGTGATTTTTCATAGTGCTAAATGAAAATCTTTTGATCTATATTATTTCGAAAGTGATAATTTATATCACAAAATGTACAATGAACAAGTGCGTATACTCTGTAGATTCATTTTAAAAGTTCAAATATGTAATTTAAGCCATTAATTTATTACTAAACTACATTCAGTCCAGAAATATTGACAAAGAGAAGGGGCTCCTGATGGGAAATCTGAAAAAATGACAGTAGGAAAAAATGCCAAGTAGGAATAAATACCACAACAGTGAAATAAACTATTCCATAATAGGAGTATTGTTTAAGGCATAGAGTGGGGTTATCACACAAAAATACAACCTAATTTTTCTGATTTAAGGCTGTATTTATTTAAGTAAATGTATTATATTTTAAATACACCCTAATAAATCAGTTAATTAGGTTGTATTTAATTTAATAAATTATAATTAATGATAATTAAATAAAAAAAACCTAATAAAATCTGTTAATCTGTTAATTACTTGAATGTTTTTTTGCAAAAAACAATAACCCTATTGTGAAATACTTTGTTCCATTTTTGTGGTGTGTATTCCTACTGGCATTATTTCCTACTGGTATGTTTTCCTACACTATGCTGATGGTAGGTGTAAAGGTTAATTGAAAGGGCTTGATCAAATGAGGGGGCACTAGCTGGAAAAATAAGGTGCCACTCCATTATGATGGGCTTTGATTTGTAAAGATATTATTAATACACTATCGAACCTTTAATTAATGTACAAAAATCGGGTCCAAACAGCGGTCACACTGTAAAGGGAAAATGGTTATAAATTAGAATTTGAGGTCACTCTAAGGTCAGATAGGCTTATCACCACAAGCATACATGAGACTGTCATAATATCATGCTGTCATGGGCTGATTTACTGTATAAAAATGTCCATAAAAATTGCGTACATACTACATTTCATTGCAAGACTGCATCTATTATCTATATTTTATAATTATTGCAATCTGACTTATGCATGATTTCAGGCAATGAAAAAAGTATGTTTACTTAGATGTGTAGAGCCAAAAATTTATGTTAGTACAAAGTCTTCTAAAATATAGATTAACTTGGAAACTTGATAACTTGAAAATGAAAATGATGAATTTCACTTTTTTTTTTTATAATAACCAATAAGATTTGCCCAGGCTTAGCCTTCTTATTTTGTTCTTGTTTTACACATTTTTAAAACATAACAAATTATTATTGTGCAGCAATATATTTCTGTACTGCATATAAGGTACAGATAAGATTTGTTGGTTTTCTAAAAAAAAACAAAAAAAAACAATTAAAACCTCTTTTCACGTTTTACCTCAGAATCAATTTATTATTTTGTTCTTAATTTTTAAGCAATTTCAGCCTCAGTGTTCTTATAAAAAAAAAAGTGTTTATCTTTAATGTTGTATTCTCTAAATTGTACTAGTATTTCGATTCATAAGGCCACTAGAATTAGGGCTAGAACTTAGTCTACTTGTTGTGAACAACAGCCAACCAACAACTTAAATACAAAAAACTGGTAAATTAGATCTGCTTCTCCATTCTTTGTCCTGAATAAAAAAAAAAAAAATCAAGAAATCCAGCTACGTTACGAATCTTACCTTTTGTTGGCGTGGTGTCAGGGCTTGCTGCCGACAGCCGTTTTTGCTGGATCACATGACAAGGTGTCACCATCGAAATGGTGTTGCCCTTCTGTCTATCCTTCATCACACGCGAGCAGATCTCGTGGAGGGCGCTAGCAATGGCCTTGGCAGGGATGTCGCAGCGGAAAACGTGGCATTTGTACCGTTTCGTCTGTTTGTCCCGAGCAACATAAGCAAAGTCTCTGCAAAGAAAAAAAAAACCAAAATACTGTTTAGATACCAGCTCAGCTTGCATTAAAATGTTTACACCTGATAAACATTATCATTTAATATTATTATTATTAAAAAGCATTTATTTCTTATATTTTTTCATATTACATCTCATATAAACATACTGTAGATACCAACATTAAAATTCCTTCATATGTAATGTCAACGTTTTGAGGCAAAAAAAAAGGTAATTACACTTATAAAACCAATAATATATTAAATTGTCTTTATGCGCTAGAAACCACAACCCATGTGATATGAACAGAAGAAGATAAACTAAAAAGAAGAGGAAAAAAGGTCAGAATTCAATATGAAAACAGATCAAGATTGGGTTTTGTGCCAAGATTTAAAGACAGGCAAGATTAGTGAATGACACAGTCTTATGTAGTTGGTTCCAGGGCTTTGGACCAGCAACAGAGAAAGAATTATTTCCACATAAAAAAAGAACCATTTAGAATCCAATATTTATTGAACTTGCAAAAAGAAAATATAGACAGTAGTAAAAAGACATTCAAAGCAAAAAATATTTAAAGAATATATGGTACAGAAATGTTAAAATTAAATATGTATTGATATGAAATGAAATGGCTGTATCATGTACCGTACTCGCGCAAATAAGCGCCCCGTTTGAATAAGCACCCCTCTCGAATAACCGCCCCTCCTAACGTGAAAATTCCCTTAAGCGCCCCGTTTGAATAAGCGCCCTTCTAATTTTAATAAGTGCACTTTTTAGCAAGTCAATAACCCAATTAATCCTGGGACTGCTGTTGTTGGCATAATTGAGCTGCAGAGTGGAAACACATTCTTCTTAGGTCAATATCAAAATGAGGATATTTCTCTTGGACAGATGAGAGCTCCGATCCCTGGACAGACAGTATATTTCCAACTTTACTCTTTTTACATAGGCCTATTTGTCTATGGCTAGTCCTACTCCTCTTTTTCTTTTCCGACAATTTGCACCTTTAGCACATTCTCATCTGAGTTTTCAAATAAAAAATACAATGATCCTGCCATCCTGCTAATCTCAATCGGCCGATGGCTAACAAGCTAACCACTACTCACCACTACTATTTGCATTTGCTACGGTATTTTGCTGTTATGAAAATATTCACGCATTCTTGTCATGAGCCATGTTCTCTGGACGATTATATTTTCTAACCACCATTCGTAATGTCCTTACATAATCTTTTTTCATTCAAAAAGTGCCTCTTGAATTTAATAATTTCCCATAAGAACCCTTCGATTTTCATCTATTTCCATAAGCTCCCCCTCAATTTCTACTCTGTTTTTCATAAGCGCCCCGTTTAAATAAGCGCCCCGTTTGAATAAGCGCCCCTCAGAAAGTCTAAAAAATATTTTAAGCGCCCGGGCACTTATTCACGCGAGTACGGTAATCTTATATATATGACAGCAAGATATTCAATCAAAACTATTTTAACTTTTTTTTTTACTAAATTCATTTTTACCATGTTAAAATGACAATAAAAGAGTATTGTATCGTATGAAAATACATTTTCTGTATCATTTCAGAGAGAGTACATCACTTTGCAGTGTAATACTGATGGATGAAATTAATGTATTGTTGAGCCTAATTCTTAAACCTGTCACTAAAAGGCTCTGTTAATCCATTACCGAACCCAATGCACAAAAGAAATGAGAGATCATGGCCGAGCATTAGGAAACCGCATCTTAGCTACTATATCATCAAAAGAAACATAATTAAACTATAGTATATAATCATAGATGAATCAACTATAACTAATCTACAATACTTTAATCGAGGCTACTTTCTAATTAATGTTATTAACTATGAATTATTGAACACCAAATGTTCTTAGTACAGTCTTTATATAGTACATGGTTTAATTCCCCCGAAGATGACACACGCCCCTAAGGGGATTACTTGTACTTTCACAGTCGGCATAATTACCTTTGAAAGCATACAATGACCTGCCTTTGATATTCTCCCACAAATCGCAATCTATTTATGTTTATGCTGTAAAGATGAACAGTGAACAATAGAATTGATAAACTGGATTGGAGTCTTAATATTTTTCTCATTTAATATTTTCCCATTTCACTCGATGTACATCATACATCATAAAATTGCAATTTCTAGCATGTACGCATTGACTGCGAATCTTAATCTATTTGCAAAATAGAAAAATCATGTCTTCTGCTTACCATTCGCAAACAACCTACAGTACATTTCTTTCAGATGTGGTTTTATAGAGTCCAACCTTATTTTGACTTTAGAGTACGGTATTGCATACCAACAGCATTTTATTATAATTATTATCATTACAGTATCATCAACATTATCTTCCTATTCCTCTCTCCCTCCCTCCATACTTGTCTTGGACTTAAAAGGCGAAAATAAATTAAATAAAATGAAATGAGTGTGGTTGAATTGGTATGAAAAAAAAAATTATGTTCCCATCATGCTTTGGACCATAGTCCATAGGATCAACTTTGCATACTATATTTTCACCTGCATGTATGTTCTCTGTAAAACAAACATGGCATTTTTGTAAATCTGTACACCCAAGGCAGTTTTTAAGAACCACTGATATGGACTATATATTTAACAAATTTAATATTAAAGATTTCCATTTGTAATATTGGATAATAAAAATTATGTATATTTGTCAAGCCACTAAGACATAATAAAAATTCCAAGAAAATCATAGTTTATGGTGGTTAAGGAATGAGATGACGTTAATTTACCATCTATATTCAGATACAGTGGATTTATAGTTAAAAAAAACTCCACATCTAGACATTGTATATATAATAAAACCACAAACTGTCATTTCTCATACTTTCATCAATGTAATACATTTTAATATATATATTATTGGCAAAGAATGTAATCTTTCTAGTTTGGCCCCATAATTCTGAATAGTGAAATACTGTGCTGAGGCTCTACTGGAGGAGTTAATCGTCCCAGGTTAATTACTTTCTATAAATAACTGATCCGAGAAATGTAGTCCTAGCTCGATACTTCATTATAGATATTTCTTACATGCTTGATACAAACGCTACAATAAGGAAGAATATCAGTTATTTTTTACGTTAGTAAACAAATATGTTAAAAAAAGAACTCTTTATAACAATAGATACATCTATTCAACCAATCTAATTAACATAGAACATGATTTACCTAATCACTTACTAATTACAACACAAAAAGATCCTAGTTAATGGCTTTCACTACGAACCTTCTATGACAGGGTGTGCGACAATCCAACGCTGAGACTAGCAGAGTGACTCGCTGATTATCATATTGATTCTGTTAAAGGTTACACGGGAGAAATATGCGCATACAAGATCCCGTTTGCATTCATCTAATTATAAACTACGATGTGCATCTTGAATTCTCTCCGCCGTTGGAGAAAACCGCTCAAGCGTTTAATATGACACCCATTTATTTTTATCAACATTTTTCTCTCATGAACAGTACGATTTTAAACTACATTTTTCAAAAAAATATTTGGTTAATATTTATACTCTCATATTTAATGTTCTTGGAAAATAAATCACAAAGCAAAACTTCCATTTTATTCCATTTAACAATCAAGTAGATTTTTTTTTTAAATATCAAAATGAACATTAATGTTATTGATTTGTAATTATTAAACAAATAATGTGAATTAGATATTATAAGTAAAATTTAAATAGAATTAATCAGAATTTCAATGAATTTTTTGAGCATACAATAACAGCCCATAAAATACTGAATATAAAAACTGGGCTAATATATAATTACTGTATTTTTAATAAATTCTAAAAATACCTATTAATTAGAGAAAAAGAATAAAAGTTATTAAAATGTATGGTGTGTTAATGTTATTAATATTTTGAGTGTACATAACAATATGCAATACATACAATAACAGCTCATAAAATACTGAAAATAAAAACAGGGCTAATATATACATTTTTTTTGAATAAATTCTAAATATATATATGAAAAAAAAGAATAAAAATAATTAAAATGTATAGTGTTTACATGTTTTTTTGAATATTTACTGTACTTGCATTATGGAATGTTTTTTTCTGATCTATTAGAAGGTATTATTATAACAAAATATTTTGCCCTAATTTTTGGTTTATAATTTCAATTGTTTTAATGTACAATACACACACTTCTACATTATCTTGGATGCTGTTTTAAATTGTATACTTCGTCGTTCATAAAATAATTAATGTAATCAATCATAAACTGTCTTACTGTGAGGTGCAACAACCTCTGACACAAATGCGAAGATTCTTCTGGTATAAGCTGGAAATCAACTGAAGGATTTTTATAATAAAACAAATTGTAAATCGAAGAAAACAGAACCGATTTGATCTATGGTATATCTATGAAAACTAGCTACTTCAATAGAATTATAAGTTTTTTGAGTACATAATAATAACAGCTCATAAAATTCTAAAAATATATATTTGAAGAAAGAAAAAAGAAAATAATTAAAATGTACAGTATGGTATATGCTTTTTGCTAATCTAAGGTATTAATTTGATAATAAATTTTGCCCTAATTCGTTTATAATTTTCAGTTGTTTTAATTACAAACATTTCTTCTGGTATCTGATAATGAACTAAAAGATTTTCATAATAAAAAAATTTTAATAAAAAAAGAAAACGAAACTGATTTGATCTATATCTAACGAAAACTACGGTATTTCCAAACTAGTTTACTTATTTAATCTTTGTTACACAGTATATTAAATTGAATATTTAGGTATTAATTATTCTAAATTTTACAACAATCTCTTTAAACAAGCAATGGCTATGTCTGTCTGGTATAAACAAACAAAATCAAAATGATCAATCGATGACGCGAAACATCAACTGTCATTTTAGCATCCATGTCGTGTCAAACACAGATGGCATGTTTAGTAATATCTACCCAAGTCAACCTAATCAATACCTTCATTAAATTAAAGGAAAACAACAAGTCACGCAAAGCAGGCCTGACTCATCTCATACCTTACACTTTTCATAATTCAAAACCTATTAAAACACATTTCCTAAATGCGAAGGACTCTGCGTCATCATTGGTTTGGAGTTAACTCTGAATGCTAAGTATCGCGCATTTTCATTGGTTGAGATTTACAATTGCAAAAGTAACGCAAGTTTTTATTGGTTGATTGAGAGGAAAATAGAAATTATGGAGGAGTCATATACTACAGTTATGATGGAGTGTGAGAAGATGTTACCATGGTAATTTGAACTATCACTGGACTGGAACCCGACATTAATATAATATTCAACATATCTTTAAGTATTCTGAATATCATACAGTCCAATACCATCTATAATACTTAAATAAAGTCTTTAATTCATTCTCATTTCCTGACAACTTCTTATTCAAATTCTTTTATATAAATTTTATAGAAATAAAGTCTTTCATTCATTCTTAATTTCTGACAACTTATTATTTTAATTCTTTTATATTCTGATAACTACCCTCACTTTAAACATTGTTATTACGGTAACTGTATTTTAATTTCTAATCAACAAAATTTTTTTTTAAATCTTGCATCAACCTTTTTAGAATTTAGAACAAATTAAACCAAATTGGTATATGCACAGTAATGGTCTTTTAAAATAATTTACACACATCAAAGAGAATATGAAGAATGTAAAAAAATAATTCTGTAAATCCTGCTCTTTTTACGAAAGCAAATAATACACAGTACAGTTAATTTTTGAAGAAATGATTTAGCCCTGATTGAACAGTTTGGTTTCCCAACCTTAAGGTGGGGATTTCAATCCCTCCACTGTGCATTTCATTTGTGTCCTTCACAATAGCACTGTTCTGTTTAAACTAATTTTTCCATGGTCTACCCAGCTCTATTAATGGGTACAGCCCAAAACTTCTGAGAGTATTAAACCTACGATGACCTGGCGTCCAATCCAAGGGAAGTATTACACTTTTAGCCACTTTACATTACAGAAACTAAGGAGAGGCTCCAGTCCCTATAAATATAAATGGCTGCTGAAAGAATTTACTTTAAAAAAAAAAAAAAAAAAATTTTCTGCAGCTGTGTTACTGCAATGAAAATCAGGTTTGACATTATCACCGGAACTGAGAATACAGAAGCACATGACCGCAAATCACGCAATTACAAAAGAAGACTGTTGCGTTGGTGGGAAACTGAATGTCTCTATGTTCTGGTCAGAATGCTAATAATCCCATGTGGGTCTTATAAAATAGTTCAACAACATTTTTGCGACATTGGTGACGTCAGTAATTTTGTTTCTACAGTAGTTAAAAATAGCATTTGAATTTGAAGATTATGTTCTTGTATTTAAATGCTACATGTTTCAATGTTTGTCTCCTGACTATTGCCCATGTCATGTGACTACTGCCAAGTCACCTGACTATTGTCAGTCACCTGACCAAGTCATGTCACATGATCACTACCAGTTATCTGATTATTCCATGTGTAAAATTTTGTAGAAGTATTTTTTAAAACGTGAAAGTTGTATTTTTATTGATACCATGTGCAATTTAAATAATTTAATATTTGGTAAAACACTTAAAGACCTCATATAAGATATTAGGTTTTTAATGCAAAAAATATAATACTTGGTTTTCAAGCTTCTGAATGTATACAGTGGGATTTTATCTACCAGTGGCAGATCCAGAAATTCATATTAGAGGGACTCTCACAGATAGAAGGTCCATCACCTTAGCCCCCATCATGGTTGAAGTTGAGATAAGAAATTTTTAGGATTATGGCACCTCTTGAAGGCCATAAATGGCACTCTCAGTTATAAATATCAATGCAATCTTCTTTTTTTTCTCCAGTTTTTAAATTTGGAAATATTTAAGGGGGTCCTGGGCCAACTGGCCAATATGGGTTTTTTTGTAAAAATATGTTTTCATCCAATTTTTGAATTCTGTTAGATAACAAATACTTTTTGACTTCATGTGGGAAATATTGTAATTTTTATTTTCTGAAATTTAATCTAAATTATATTAACGCAAATGTTGTTGCTAAACTAAACAATCGGCCATGTTTGCTTTGGTAACATGGATAACTTAATGCTGATTAACACACTCTGGTTTACGTTAATTTTCGTTGTCAGCGAAGTCTGTTTTACGAACCATACGAATGAAAGTAATACTCAACAAAAAATCATAGTCAACGAAATGAACCACTTGAACAAGCTCATTGACATGACAATGATGACTTACATCATGATGCAAATAAAACTACATTAATTTTAATACAATTTCATTTTGTTGAATTTTGGAATGAAATGCTAATGATATTACAGATGAATACTCAACAAAGTAATTTTAATTTTTATTGATAATGAATAATTGAAATAAATGTAGGTCAATCGATTACCACATCGCTGACGTCAAAATACACCATGACACACTTTCAATACTGAGTAATATCACTAAGCAGTCGATAAGGTTAATTCCACAGCTTAGCCATAGAATCTATTGCTGTTTCAACTGACATATTTTTTATAAGAAACAAAGGGGGAAAGGGGGCGGCTATATTTGTGCATTGTGAATCCATTAGATATACCTTCAATAAATAATATATAGTAATTTATTACGTTTTAATCGGAAATAATTAGGTCTTGATCTATCAGTTAAAAAAGCTAAGAAAAATTAAACTTGCCTGAAGAGCCACTCAGATAGATTGACTGCTTAGTGGCAGTTTACTCAACAATGGAACAATGTGGTACTTGTGGCAGCCTCTGATAAGGGGGAGAGGGAAAAGACTAGGAGAAGACCCCAGTGGGTATAAAGGACCTATGGTCCAAGGAGGTAGGACCTATGGCATAAAGGGTTAAGAACCTGGAGCTTTGGTGTAAGAGAGCAGGACAAATGTTCCGATTGAGGAAAACCTATCATGGTCCAAGATTGGTGGGGGGGGGGGAGGTCTATGTTCAAGGCCAAGGGTCAGTTTGATGGTGTCTTCTTACCTATTGTAGGGATCCAGAGTGCCATGCCCTTTGCAAGCTTATCTAAATGATTCACACCTAGATACGCCTAGAATATTGCATAGTGTAATATAGCGACATACTCGAGTCAGGTCCGTAACCAGGTTCACAGAAGGAGGGGGGCGGAAGGAGGGGGGGGGGGTTGTTTCCTATAGGCCAAGTTTTCAAAAGTGTTTCTTTAATTAACAAAGTTACGATCAGTTCGGCCAAACCTCACATCCCTCTCTCTCCCCCCACCCCTCCCCGGTGACGGCCTATATAAAACGATATGTTCATATATACAGGAGAGAGAGGATTATGCCATATACAGGATATAATGGTCTGCTTTTCCTACTACCGATAGCTCTCCTTGATCCGCTCAGGGTAAAGTATATTTTGTGGGTTTTTTAACTAGCAGAAATACAAATAAATCAAAAACAAAATAGATTTGGTATAATTCATCCACACTTAAATAATACCAACACTGCGGGTAAACAGAGGGTAGGTAGAACTGCAACTGTCTCCACCTCTGGTTAAATAAACAAAATATAATTTTGAAATAAATAAATAATATAATAATTTAAATAAATCAAGTTATACAATTGTTACAATCACATAACAAATATTCGGATGTTATATAAAAATAACTCTATTCTACTATGCTGTATTAAAAGAGAAGCTTGTAACAAATTAAATATGAACACTATTGGAAAACATAATGCTTGTCAAACACCGACACAAAAATTGAACAAAAATACATGAACATTAAATCTAGCATACAATAACATACCAAATTTGTCTGCTTTTGAGTAAGAAAATAGCTATAGAATCGAATAAGACTGCCAACACATTTTTTCAGCAACAATAACATGCACAGTATAACACATTTGAATAGAACGAATGATTAAAGCATGATGAATTAAAGAAAGAAATTGAGATGGTTTGAAGTAAAAAAATAAATCAGCTGACACCAATAATTTCGGTATAAACGATGGAAAAATTAAATAAATCATTGAAAAAAATAACTGGACACTTTACCTTTCTCTGATAATTTTATGGAATGCAAGAAAGGCAAAAGAAGGGAAAGATAGGGAGTCATACATGAACAAATCAAAGCATGAAAATGGCATTCAAAACACTTCATAACAACAGTTGTGGCATTATGATACGGTCATTTTGATTGGACAAGTGCAGTCCATGCTTTGCATTATATGTTTGTATCTGTTATTGACACATTAAATATGAATAATTCATGAGCTTAGAATTATGATATGGCCATTGCGATTGGACAAGTGCAGTCCATGCTTAGCATATGTTTGTATCTGCTTACTGACACAAAATATGAATAATTCATGAGCTTGGACTTATGATACGGCCATTGCGATTGGACAAGTGCAGTCCATACTTTGCATATGTTTGTATCTGTTAACTGACACAAAATATGAATAATTCATGAGCTTGGACTTATGATACGGCCATTTTGATTGGACAAGTGCAGTCCATGCTTTGCATATATACGTATGTATCTGTTATTGACACATTAATTAATATGAATAACTCATGAGCTTGAAAAACACCTGCAAATGAAGTTAATCAATTTTGTTCAGGATGCCGTAATACTGTATGTGCTACTAGTACAATTTTTATTCAGGCTCTTGAGAAATTGGCATTAAATTATAATATGAATATTCATAGCCTTACGAATTATTCATAATCTACAAGGTAACAACAAATATTACATCACATCAAAAAATATCACATACAATAAACAGTCATGTTTTCACATTCTGACAAATCTAATTGAAGTACAGTAATTAAAAAAAAAAACAATTTGCAAAAATTCAGTTAGAGTATCTTTTAATTCCTCGCTTTGCATTTCGCTTGGGCCACTAGGCAAGGTACTTTACCGACTTTTTTCTTAATCCACCCAGGAGTTCAAGTGGATACTCGGAAGGATCAAATGCAAAATGTGCTGATTACTAGCTGCAACATTATGGAATTCTCTCCAGGGAGCTGAGTATGTGTTGCCTATGTGCTTGACCCAATGAACAGGGTAATAATGTGAAGCAATTAGAGGCCTTGTTGGCATTAGGCGCTATTTAAGTCTAACATATAAAATATATTATTTTTGGAAAAAAGCATATTATTTTCGCATTATGCCCATATGGGTGTGATATATCATCATGACCATATATGGGCAAATCACACAAATTTGGTAGGTGTAAACAGACCTTTAAGAACACTGCTATATTTCTTCTTTAGCATCACCTAATGCAACATGCCAATGCAGAATTGAATGGTAATTATGTAATCAACACAGGTACGCTATCCATCCGCATAGAAAACAGGAAGTGAAATTGAGCCTCCGCAACAACTAAGCTACCATCAATCATTGCGACAGCCTGTGGCCAAATATACGTACCAAATAATTTACTATGTTTTCCCGTTATAAATATTTCGAGAAGTGTTGTAACACAATAAAGAATACCTTTGAATGGAGTTTGAATTCAATCTTAATTTGCAGCGATTTCCATGCAAAATTATCCAAGTAAATTTTGATGTCGTAAATTTTAAAGTAATTGAAACCAACTGTGTATCTAAATTCAGCATCAGAATATGTTGTTTTTATGTATAATGTACCACTACAAATACCTCTATTTTAAACCCAATACCATTTCAATTTTAATCATACAGGAAATTTACTCAAGTATTTTGAATAATTTTTGATACAACAGTTGCATTGTTTTTTACGTATGTATGTATGTATGTATGTATGTATATATATCATATGCAGAAATACCTAAACTTTAGTGAGCCTCTGAACACTCAAATCACCTTCTTCCAATATGTGAAAAAGGTCCTCAATTTTTTTGAACACACATTTTATTAATTCAAGGTCTAACCTAAATAATTATATTTTTCTTCTAATACAATATAATATTTGCCATGTTGTTCTTTTAATCCACCGTATTTATACATCTACTGTAAAACTTTAAAATCGTCTGAAAAAGTTGAGATGTTGGTATTTTTCTACCTGAAAAATATATTCTTCCAAATAATCCTTAAGCTCTGGCGATGGCAAATGCACAAGTTTTATTTATTCCTAAATATGGTATTGATGACCTTAAATCATGACCATATATAGGCACATTATGACTACAGTTGTAAACAAAAATTTGATAATCTGGACAAAAAGTTAAAATAAATTGGCAGTTAACAGATTTTTATTAATAATATATTTCCTATAATCTCTGTAAACACCATTTTCGGCAAATTTGAAATGAAAATTTCTAAGAACCTGGCAGCTGCCACTGGGGGTGGGGGGGGGATCATCCATATGCATTTTGTTTAGTTACCAATGCAGGGGTTTATTTAACAGCCGGCGGCCGGCGCATTCGATCGGCTACTACGATGTTTTCGCCGGCTACTTCAATCAATGCTGTACAAAAAGTAATACAAAAACCACCAATATAAATATCGCAACAGGCCTGTAAAGAACCTTATTTATCTACACGAAGTTAATTTGCAATAGTATGCACTCATTTCGATGTTCCTTTCTGTTGAAAGTTCGTTAAAATATCTACCAATTTTCAGACTCCATTTCATGAACTCGCGGCGTAAACAAAGTTAAAGTTCAAAGTTCGGCAGTCGCGTCTGGTTGAGTCCATCAAAGAAGCCACGCCTCTAAATCACATGTTAGCCAATAAGATAATAGAAATTTCTCCTCCACCACATGCTCAGGTGATGACGATATACATCGCCCAAACTCTTTTACTGTACATTGGGCTTCCGGGTTTTCTTACCGCGGAGAAGAAAAAAACAGATCGTCGTTTTAAAATTAATTTGTGTATGACTATGAACCTTTTATTTTCATTTCATTTTTATTTATACTAGCCCTCTTTGTAATGACATACATATTTTGGAAATGATAAATAATTTAAAAAAAAAACCAACACTGGCTCAAATTCGTTTACATTCGGTGGCGGAGGTAGCAAGCCGAACCAACTATATTGAATGCTGTTTACACTCACAATTTCAGAGTCATAGATAGTACAGTGATTAAAACGGCAGAGCAAGCCAAAATCGTCTCAATTCACATCACATGAGACATTTTTTTTTTCCAATGTGATATCCATTCCTTTTCGATATCTGCGTAAATTTTAGAACTATTTTTTGCTCTCCTTTAGATGTTTTCTTCAACGCAGATCTAGGGCATAGGCCTAAGTGGTGAATCCCCACAAATTTCAACATGTTTGTGAAAAGTAAACAACTTCATCATTATAAAAATTGTATTTTCAATTTTTTTGGTGGATTTTATTAAATGTGTATAAACTTCAAAAAGAATGTATTTCAATTATTAATCAATATTCTGACCTTAAATTCCGATGTTGAGCTCTAAAAATTCGTAAATTCTAGGCCTATTCTAGCCTATTCAGTAAGTATACTAATCAAGGAGGTTCTGATCATCACTGCATGTGATTGCACATGTGCAACCACTGTGCAGTGTATACTAAGAAGTTCAAATGGGAAACTAATTTTCCGTACCATATGACATACCACGATGTTCAATCATCATCAATCAATGTTTGAATCGATACTAGGCCTACAGGAAAATAGTTTGTTAATAAAACATTGATAAACATTGTTCATTTTGTAGGATGCTTGAATACCATACAAAATTAAGGAATATCATATGAGTGAGTAAACTTGTCTCTTTCTTATCTGTGCCTGGGATAGCCAGCTAAGTCCTGGCAGGCTTGTGGCGCCTTAGCCTGCCTAAGCCTAGATACTGTAGCCTACACAGTGGCTGTAGGCCTATCTAACCTAGGCCTAAACTCACGATACGATATTTTCAGCTATTGTATGATATTCCTCTCATGAATTAAATTTAGGCTTTTTGAGATTCGACATCTAGATGTGTATGCCGAAATTATCAATTCGCGAAAGTTTCTGGTTTACAGTATCTATTTAGGCTAGGTAGGCCTATGTATGAAGAATATGTAAAAATATCAACTTTTTTAGAGCTCAGTAATTGATTCTGAAAAACTGTTAAGAAAAAATGATGTAGAGAAATGCCATCAAATGGGCTTAAAAAACTCTAATACCCTGGAGCGCAATGGCACTTCCGCCCCCTTGACCCCCGACCAGGGCTCTGCCCCTGGACCGCGATGGGGGCCTAGGCGGCCCCCTATACCCCGGCCTATTTCAATTTAATCTCCTGTTACTTTCAAATTTCTCCTGCTACTCAAATTCTTAAATAAACCCCTGCAATGTATATTTGTGGTCGATACACAACTTTCTTTCTTGAAAAGAAAAAAAAAAACAGAAACGCATAAAACCTGCAGTGTTTTTGGTAGTTTCGATACTGCTGCTCTACTGTATGTTTCCCAACGAAAATTTGCAAGTCTTCAGAAGTTGGTGGCGCTATTTAAAAAAACAAAATGGTGTATAGGCCTATACCCTCTCCTTGCCAGAAAGGTTAAGGAAATCTGTAGTATCACTTCAATAAATCATAGAAAAAATTCTTATGGTCTGAGACATGGTTGATAAATTATGTTTTAAATGAGACATTCAAATTTATGATTTTTTTTGGAGAAGTCTGTTTTTGATATTTGATGCATTAACAGCTGTACATCTAAAATACATGTCATTCTCAACAAATTTAAGCGAACATTATCATGTCGTACTGCGTCTGAAATAATGTGCGAACTGATGTATTTTGTTTCGTGAATGTTTCAGCCGATTTAACTTTGAGTTTGCTTACGACCATTATAATCTGTAATCGGATCTGCAAGCCAACAGTTCCTAAGGCGTAAGCCTACTTTAAATTGAACTCGCCAAAAGAGATCGAAACTAGACAACTATATAAATCTTCATGCATTCAATTTTTTTTATCCTGAAACATAGTCGTACAACTTTTTTTATATAAATACAAAGCAAATACATGTCTCCCTCCAATTAAAGAACCCTTTCTGGATCAAAGGTGATAATGATCTTTAGCAGATTCGGTCTTTAATTAGAAAAAAAAATTATTAAAAAGATATAAGATAAACACTTAATTGGGGCTGCAAAATGTGGTTTTTAATTGAAGATGGTCTTTCTTCATAATTGGAGGGATACTTATATATTTTTTACTTTGTTTATTCTTCTTTTTTCTTTCTTTTTTTCTAGTTTTCCCTTTTTTCTTTTGTCACACAAACACTTGCAAATCTACATGAAGGCTACCAGAGGGTCCACCGATTAATTTTAGATATGAAAGAATAGTTGCATACTCCAAGCAAAGAAATCATGTCATCATGCTGGGATTCATAATCATATCAATAATGTAGATACTATGTTATGATACTATGTTATGCATTCTACCAATAATGCTCAGAAAACTAATAAAACATATGAAAATGAACATGTGAAGTATTTCTGAAAAAAACCTCCTAATGTCAGAGTTCAAACAAATATAATTTGTTTTATTAAAATGCATAGGTGAGCTTATATTCATCCTTTTGTTCAAATATAAATGTAGTCATCCTGAACTATATGTCTTATGTTTGGCTTTCAAAGTCATCATATTTTTATTGAATTTACTATTGTTTTTCCAAATAAAAATTCAGGGTCTGAATGATCACTTTTGGCTAGATGGAACATATCAAACATTAAGTTAAAATTGATGAGGTGTAAGAGTCTGATGGTAGTAAATAAATCATTCAAAAAAATGTAGTACTTTTAAGACTAGTTTTATTTGACAATATAGAACACTAAGTCACCAACTATAAATAAACAAATCAATACATAATAAATAAAATGAACTCAACACCCCTCCCTCCCTAAATGTTAGAAATTACTCCATACCACCATCTAACACAAAGACATAAGAATACATATTGAACAGTGAAATATTTTATGTTTAAATCTATTTCTGTGACTTATCCACTATAGACTTAATGGCATACTAATTTATTGTCTTCTGAAAATTTTTTAAACGTTGAGCTGCGACAAAAGTGTAGTCATCTAATGGGGAATAAAAATCTAGATCGAGGACAGATCAATTGGACAAGTTCAAAGGACAAAAGTCAAATGAAAAATAGAATGTAGGTGACGGGCTTTCAGATTAATTCAGCTTAATTGGTTTTTTTTTTTAGTTATAAAAGCAATGATCCATTTGTGGAATGCAATGCACTATATTTGTAAATTTATTATCATTATGAAGTTCTAAGATGATAAAAAAAAAACAATATTTTATTATGGTTGACATGTGTTTGAGGTATATGAGGCTTGTTAGCCGAAAAACCAATGTACTGTCACTAATTATTAAATGGAGTAATTAGTAATTAAAGAATGTGCACTGATGCTGATTTTGTAATGATAAGCCTCACATGGAAGAATGTGGAACAGAGGTAAAACTTTCACTTTACACGCAAAAGATCAGGGGTTCGAATCCTTTTGGCGACTGGGGCCACTCTTCCTCGGTAGATGAGTGAGTAGTTATGCCAAGCCACTAATTATAGTTATCAAAACTTTGGAATACTTGGAGGAAGCTACGAGTTTATATACTAAAAAGAAATTATGATGACTGAGATTGATTTCAAATTGTCACTGTATTCAAGGAACACAGTTATTTCTCTTGGCCTTGCGTAAGGCTTACAAAACACATCTGTATTCTATATGAGGCATGCCTTCTCAAACTAATGTACTGTCACAATATGTTAAACTTATTTGTATATAGTACAATATAATAATAATAATAATAATAATAATATTAATAATAATAATAATAATAATGACAATGATTATAAATAATAATAACAATAATAATAATAATAATAATAATAATAATATATATGTAGCACGTAATTTTAACAACCACAAGGACTTAGGTCGTAACACTGATCATAATTCTGTAAACAGTCAATTTCATTAAATGATTTTTTATTATTTACTTTTATTTTAATACCATATTTCAAGAGGGGAGACCCATCCAGCATTGTAGATCATTAGGGGCCCTCAAACAATACATGATGCATCATTTTAAAGGTTATAATGTTGAAAATTTGGTAATATTAAAAGAGTATTAATTTTTTGTTGTTTAGCCCAATGGATGCTAGTTTTGGGATGACATGCCTCATATATTAGCACTACAGGATATACTACAGCTATCGTGCACTAAAAGAGAGTGGTTACTTACCGGCCATTATCTCTGCCGACACCCCAGACACGAATGCTACACACATGTTGCTGGTTCAGTAACTGGTCGTCTGCTGTGTCCATCAACTTCAAGTGCTCATCCTCTAAAACCATGTTCATGTCTTTACCCTGAGAAACAAATGATGAAAAAAAAATTTATAACATTACAGTGAGTATAAAACTTGCTTACCAACTAACCAGCCATTTTATTTTATTTATTTAGGCACACACAAAGGAGCTGAGGATTGCCAATAGCAAATATATCACTGTTCTACGAATAGGTGTCAATCCCTTACATACACACAAGATGCTTTACACTAACTAAATCTCAGTATGAGTCCTAGGATGTGGAGTTGTTTCGGGTTGTAAGGAAAATCCTGCAACACTGAGAAATTGAACCATGACCCTGCAATTGGGGGGGGGGTCAAGCATCCATAACCACCAACTCTGTTTCTGTTACATACCAGGGGCGGATCCAGAGATGTCCGAAGTTAGGGGGGCCCAAAAGTGGGGCTAATCAAGATAACTCCACCCTAGGAGGTCTGGGGCATGGGGACATGTCCCCGCGAAATTGTTGTTACTAGACACCCGAAAATAACCTCTGAAGCATCTTGGGCGATCAATTTTTTCTTTTTTTTACTTTCCAAAGGGGGGTGGAGGGCCCCTTTCTTTTTTTTTATAATCCACTAGATCCTCATACAGGGCAATATGAATTAAGGAAGTCAATGGTCATGTTTAAGGACAATTTTGTGTAAAATAGTATTATTTTCATTAAAAATTAATTCTAAACAATTTGTAACGAAAATTGACGATCATACATAGATTTTGGAAGATCTTCATAAAAAAAACGACTTTGAAATTTGGGACAGTTCCATGAAATACGCAACTGTTAGTAACTAAAATTTACAAGGATTACTATCAACCTAATGAGGGCAGTATATAATGATTGATTTGATATTATTTTAAATTTTTCATAAGAAAATTGCCCAATAGAAGTACATGTAAGTCTAAAAGCCACTAAAGTGAAGTGCTACATAAGAGGAACGCTCAGTGGAGAAATCATGCATTATTTAGAACATGGCCGTGAACTATACTGCTGTTGTGGTAACGGCAATGGAAATATTATTATTAAGTCCATTAAGTGCCATCTTACCAAGGAAATTATATATTACTTTGTCTCTACGTTTAATAATCTTCTCCATCCTACTATGGAGGTTTAATAATAGACAACAATTTGGGCTTCATATTGAGTCAATTACTTTTGAATAATTCAACAATAACTGCACGTTTTTAAATTGGTTCGCCGTTCAAACTGGATTCTCTCTATGACGGTACCTATTAATAAGATGTGGCGACAAAACTCAAGCACGGCTCCATTAATAACCTTGTTGGAACCTCAAATCAACGAGGCATTATCCGAAAGTATTAAATATCACAGGACACGACTGTTAGTCTAGACGATGCTTCATAAAACGTTAGCAAAAAAATGTTAGCAACTGGCATATAAAGCAGATATCTTCAGTCGATTTGTATTCGTTCGCGCTAATGTTACATAGTTTCTAAATCCTTTATAAACATTCGTGTCATCGGTGTTTACCTTTCAACTGAAAATTATCTCTCTGAAGGAATGTCTTGCAATTAGTAAATATTAGCAATATTGATTTTGTTTCATTTATTTGCATTGTCTTCCTATGAACATGCATTTATGATGTCTACAATGTATACATGAATACATTATAGCAAATACCATTTTAATATGTTAGTATAAGAGTAGTGATGATTTCTGCTCACTCAACACAGATATTATTCTCCTGATGACAGATTGAAGCAACTCAATTGAAATGTCAAGACATTCTCAATAAACATTTCTTTTCAGAAAGGTATACCGCAAGCATTTAATGATTATTATTATTATTACTGACCCAATTTAAATTAGTCAAAACAAATTTCAAAATATATAGTCAGTAGGAAGTCTAATAATAATGAATAAAAGAAGGTATCAAGATTATTGTATGGGTTTGAGAAAAAATGTTTAGGGGATTGGACTTGTGAGTTGGGGCAAACAGAATGTTGAAATAGTTTATGAATAACAGCTACTACTATATTTTAAAATGGTAAAAACTTGTATCACCTTAAAGGTTTTTTCACAAGGCCGTTTTTTTGCAAGAAGGAACAAAAAAATATGAAAAAGACTTGCATTCAAAAATTAACTGAAATGCAGATACTGTACAGAGAGAAAGTAAAACTCTAGACTAAGAAATGATGTCATGACAATGTATGAAATTCTAGAAAGTGTTTTGGTTCATTATTATTTTAGTTATTGTTATACTAACCTCGCCCCATATTCCAGCACTGTCCCTGATGTCGTTTTTACGGTACGAGAGCTGTCGGATACAATTGTTAACCGCAAGACTACTCTTTCCTGGCGACAGGTCGGAGTCATTCATTTCTACCCAGCCCAGTGATCGTACATGAAATTTTATTGGCTGAAAGAAACAGGCATAAGGTGAGGGTATTAGGTGGCAAATTTCAACAATATTTATTTGTTTAGTTTCTTAAGAATTGTTCACTTCACAAGACAAATTGGTGTTTACACTTTGACTGACAGCAATACATCAACTGGCACAAGCAAGTGTGAAAAGCTGTCATGTTCATTACTCTTTTTCTCACCTCTAATCAGGAACGTTTTTTGTTTTCTTATTTGGGCAAATAGATTTGCCAAAAACATCCAGATGAAGGAGAAAATAAAAATAAAATTTTATTGGTATATGTGAACAGTATAGGGATGATTACATGCTTTCAAATTATACAATTAGGAAGAAATATACATATCTTATTTTTGAAAATTTCAAGGCAGCGTTAAACGTAATAAAATAAAGAAGAACTTCTGGTTTTTTTTCTGAATTTTTTTTTTTTTTTATGGCAGCGTGGGTGCTAACTGGCTCGACTGAGCGTTAGTATTATAAAATAATGTATCAAGATCTATCTGCAACATTTAAAATGATGTGTCTAAGTCTCAGAATTAGCATCAAGTTAATTCACTATAAATATATTCTACTTACATCACGTCCGACTTTCTTTTCTTCATGCTCCTGGTCCGAGTCTACGTCTCCGGCGTTCAGTGAAGCGTATCTTAGGGCAGACTCTTGGAAAGCTCGAATATGCTGCTCCGGGTCAGAGTTCGTTCCACCACTCGGTATTGAAGACTGCGAAAGCTGAATAAATAATTATATCATTTATTGAATTTGTAATAATTATTAACATCACCTCGTGTGCTGGGATCAACAGACCATAAACGATGATGATGATGATGATGATGATGGTGATGATGATGATGGTGGTGATGATGATGATCACCATGGTGATGATAATGATGATGATACCATAAAGATGCCCACTTCCGAATCCCAGGGTGTTTGGTTTAAAATCCAGTAAAAAATATTAAATTATATATTTCAAAAAATTTGTTTGACCTCATTATCTTAAAGATTTATACTTAATGGATACTTAAGGAGGATAAGCAGAATAACACCAATGATGGAAAAAAAACACAACCATAACATGCACATACTCAACTCAGCACACCTGCCCTGCATCAATTTATTTGACATAAATTGCATCAGTATATGTCACAACACAATTTCTTCACTAAATTTTGTACGCTTCATTCCAAAACATGACAACAATGTAATCTATATTGATCAATTGATAACTCATTACATAAAATTCTTTTCTAAAAAAATAATTGAAAAGGTAGCCAACAACATGAAGACTTTAATTTACTACAGCCAAATGAGCCTTACCAATAATTAAATGAAATCATCAATAACTAAAAGATGCATTAGCATCTGTTTTTTTTTATGGATTTTTATAGGCTGTATGGTAATGATAATGGCAATGCACTCATAAAGTGCATAATGCATTATGTTATTATCTCCACTGGCTCAAAACCTCAACCAAGGTGTAATAAACAACAGAAGAATAAAAAAAACAAAAAAAAAAGGAATAAAACTGTGAATGTATTTTGATTGTTTTTAATCTTTTACGTTGTTATTATTATATTATTAATATTTATAATTGTGTATGAAAGGTAAATATTTGTTTTGATATGAGTGAATGTACCCGTTACAAGTTTCTGTGGGGACAAATAAGTTCTAAATCTGAATAAGCAAATTTTAGACCACTACTTTAATCATATTCTGTTGAAATCGACTATAGTAATAATTACACGTACTGTATATGAAATTATAATGGTGATTATTTTTTCAGTGGGTCAGCGTGGGGAATAGATAGAATATGAAATGAAATTGCATTCTGATACACACAAAAATTGCAATATAAACCGATATTATACTGCAAACCTTCGGACATATATTATATATTGTATACATTTTTAGAGTGGCTTAATGTAAAAATAGAATGTTTAATTTCCCTAATGGATCGGACCGGTTTCTCTTCAGCAGAGGTTGACACAAGGAATACAGAGACAGTCTATATGAGCTGTCAGCTGTTACATTACTATTCAGTGTGATAAGAAAAAATATATAATGGTTATCCATTTTTATATTATTTTCACCCAACAGTACGTTTCTCACCAAAAATCAAGAGATAAAAATGAATAATGAAAATTAAAAAAAATATTTAAGGAATCAGGCTACATAGGGGTGGATCCAGGATTCAAAATGTTTCCCAAAAAAAATTTTGATTCCTAGATGGCCGGAAATAATCTTCCCTGCCTTCTGAGGTGTCTTTTAATGACTTTAAATTTCTTAAAAATTCAAGGTTTTCCCTCTCTTGAAAAAGGTCAGTTAATTTTATCTCATTCTTAGGCCTATACATAAGAAAAAAAAATCAAGACATAGGCAATATATTATTATATTCCAACAATATTAAGTAGTTGAATACGTACAGTAGTATTTCTTCCATGGATCGATGAACCGATAGGTCTGACAAACGTACTTTCGTACATAAATTATTACGACATGGAACCAAAAACAGTGTTTTTAATCTTTATTCAATTGAAATCTAGTTGGGCTAAAGCCTAGTTTGTATCATCTGCCAACCTAAGCCTAGGTTAGCATGCCTTCTGTTATCCAGGACCCAGTATTTTGTTATACTTCTTAACAGATGCAATTCATCCGAACCCCCTGAAATCCCCCTGGAACCCGCCACTGAAATAGATGATAACATACACGTTTTTGAATTATTAACCAACTGGGAAAATTGAGGATATTAATATCTCTTTGCTTCCCAGTTTTAATATTCAAAATTTGTAATTTCATCAAGTTTTATCTACAAAATCTCTTTTATAATATCTAAAAATATTCATCTGGACAACATATTAATAATTTTTTCCTACTCAAAAAAATTATGGTAATTGTGATTTTGGTGTTTTGGGATTTTAAGGAAGAAATGTGGATACATTTAAATGCATATTCATTATTAGTCAAAAAAAAAACATATGGAAACTGATCATGTATTAAACCATCTATCAGTTATTCTTTTTTTTTTTTCAAAAAATTATTATTCTATTTTATATAATCTTTTTCTCACTCTACAATATTTTGCATTCATAGAAATCTTCAATACTAATCTCTTCAACCCTCAGCGCAGATTTGAATGTGTGAATTGAGTAAAATGCACGTTGTAAAATTAATAAGCGTAGATGAGTCAATGAAATGCCGGATTTACATCTTCACGGCAAGAGTAAAAACCCGTTGAAATGTGTATCTATCATGGCATATGTATCGCTTTACATAAATAATTAAATATTACCCCTATGTGCATGCCCTTGGGTATCGTTAGTAACTGCCAAAGAGCCTGGAGTCAATTAAACACTTTTGTTATGCTTTCACATCTGGCAATTTGCCAAATATTTACACAGGGATGCATAGTAATGAACCAATATTGAAAGTTGGAATATAAGACAGGCAGAATATATTTAACGAAAGATTTACAATTATTGACATTATTGGATGCATATGTATATAAATAATATAATATAATTTGGGGTTTAGCGGAAAATAAAATGTGTACTGTAGGTATCTATTTCTGTGGGGTGAGTAAATCCCCTCAACGTCATAGCCAGAATATATTTAACAATAGATTACAATTATTGACAATTATATGAATGTATCATAAATGTATATATAATATAATTATATATTTGGAGTGTAGTATAGCGGAAAATAAATTTGTAGGTATTAAATTTTGTGGGATGTAGGGGTAATTCCCTCATTGGGATCCAGAGATATTAATTTGGTTAATATTTCTACATTATTTTACAGTCTATAAAACAATATAATTTGTGATTTTAATAAAAATAGAAAACATGAAGACATATTAAAATACAGTACCTTGGTTTATTTTATAATTTTTGATGTGAAATGTAAGAAAATTTGGGATCATGTAACACAGCCAAAACATTATGCAAAAAATTTGAGCATGCCAAACACTCTTGGGGGAATATTCAATGTCATATTTATCCCTGTATGATTAATATAAACAGTGTTAATATTTTTAATTAAGTGTGATTATCTCAAAGATCGGATGCTACAGCAGTGATGTATCTATGAAGGTGTGGGCTTGCACACCACCCACCCCCCCAAAAAAAATTGTGATGTATCTATGAAGGTGCGGGCTTGCACA